GGCTACAGGGAGACCCTGTATCAAAAAGACCCCAAAAAAGTATTTTTATTTTATGTATGTATGTGTGTATGCCTGCAGTGTCCAGCAGACTGAAGAGGATATCGGATCCCCTAGAACTGGAATAACAGTCCTTAGCCACTATGTGGGTGCTGGGAACCAAACCCAGGTCCTCTGCAAGAGCAGTGAATGCTTTTAACCACTGAGCCATCTCTCTAGACCCCTACTAGGTCTAGTCTCAACTTTGTGCTATAAATTTACTAGGTAACCTTGAGCAAGTCCACTTCCTCTTTGGAAAAAGGGAAAACCGAAAACTGGGCGTGAGGGTTCACACCTGTAATCCCAGCAATTCAGGAAGCACAAGTAGGAAGCTCCTGAGTTCCAGGCCAGCCTGGACTATCTAATGAGAATGATTTTGTTGCGTAGTCACTGAAGATGGACCGTTCCTTCATTATCAGCTTTGGACCCTACTTCCTGTTTCCTCTGGTAACACTAGAATTATAAACATCACAACTGCCTCTGATTTAAAATACTACGGCCTGTAAGATAGCTCAGCAGATAAAGGGATTTGCTGCCAAGAGTAACAAAGTGAGTTCTATCACTGGGACCAGCATGGTGGAAGGTGAGAACCAACTCTCGAAAGTTGTCCTCTGAATTCCACACATGTACCATTGCACACACATACACTAAATAAAAATGTCATAAGGAGCTAGGTGTTGAGGTGTCTGTAGAGGTAGGGGGATCTCTGAGAGTTTGAGGCCAGCCTGGTCTACATAGCAAGTTCCAGGCCAGCTGGAGCTTCAAGGAGACCCTGTCTCAATAAGACAAAAAAAAAAAAAAAAAGGAACAAGAAAAAAAATGTTGAGCCAGGGTTAATGCATGCCTTTAATCCCAGGACTCAGGAGACATAGAGTCAGGAGGATCTCTGTGAATTTGAGAGACTAGCCTGGTGTACATAGTGAGTTCCAAGCTATCCAGGGTTACACAGTGAGACCCTGTCTCAAAATAAATTTTTTTAAAAATACTTTATGAAAAAGTGGAGTTATCAGGGCTTTTTATTTATTTTTTGAGGCTCCTTAAGAAAAACTACTTCCTCCATGTTAAAATAATGAACTCTAAATTCTACCTCTGTCCTTGGGTAGAACATGACATTCTCTACCCCACAGATTAGAACATTATTACATACAGTTGTCTCCTTTAGTAAGAGTTAATCTGCTTCAGCCAGGTAGCCCACTTTTCTGAGTTCTAACTTAAAAACTAACTTTTCCTTTCCTTTTTAGCTCTTCTTTGGATACTAACCCAAATCTTGATACACTTGGCTTCTTCCCTCTTTCTCTGCCCCATTCCCCTTCCACCATGCAGCTCCTTGCCTGACCTCCACTGCTGAACCAGCTTTCTTGAACTAAGCCTAACCCAAAAAGATATGACTTTCTCTCTTCCTCATCATCTCTCTCCTTCTAGCAGCTGCAGAGATTTGCAGCTTGCCTGCCCTGTGTTTCTTTCATACCCTAATAAAGTTGTCCTTGAACTTAAAAAAAGAGCAATTCAGTAGAATTACTGACAATTGCCTGGCCAGGAGATCACCCCCCAGGAAAACTGATTCACTTGAGCCCCTCCATAGGGACAGCTATTTGCAGATCTTCACTGCTAAGCCCTTCTGCTTTTTCTTTAAGAACAGTGTCTCACTATGTAGCCCTGGTTGGCTAAGAACCCGCTATATAGACCAGGCTGGCCTTGAACCTACTGAGATCTGCCTGCCGCTGCCTCGAGAGTGCTGGAATTATAGGTGTGTGTCTCCATGCCCGGAACCTTCCTGTTTTTCCAAGTTCTGACTCAAAAAGCATAACTTTTCCTTTTCCTCTTTCTACCTCTTCTTTGAATACCAGCCAAAACCCTAAGTATGCTTTCCCTGACACTCTGGGCTTTCTCACTGTTTTCAGACCCCCTCCTGCTTTCTACAGCTGTTTGCAGACCCCCACAGCTAACCTTAATAACCTTTCTACTCTACCTTCCTCCTCCTGGCAGCTATCAAGATTTACAGCTTGCCTGCCCTGTTGGTTTTCTCTCAAATACTAGTAAAATGGCCATTTCTGAGTCAGTTTTTAAATTCCTTTATTAATGAAATTTATAACACAAAAGGGAACCCCAAATCCCTGGTAACAATTCTAAAAACTACCATTAACAACAACAACAAAAAAAAACAAAAGGAAACAAAAACACAACTAGAGAAAGCTGAGGTAAAGCTGAGATTGTAGATAACAGATTCTTAGGACCTGCAGATGAGGGGATCTAAAATATGGGATCTAAAATATGTAAAATATGTTCAGGGATCTAAAATATGTAAGAGTGGGCTAGCAGAACACTTGCATAGGATATGCAAGGCCCTGGGTTTCATGCCCAACACCCCCTGAAAAAAACAAAACAAAAACCAAGCCAGTGCAAAAACCACATGGGAATGTAGCTTCCCCCTACCCACTGTGGATAGTGGGCCCACAGTTCTGATCAGATCTTTAATTTGAAACCTGAGGAGGACCCAACCCCAGAAGCAGGATGGTTCTAAGATGAGATAAACAGGAAACAGAAAACTATGAACTCTGGAAGTGAGATTTTTGCTTTGAATTTTGGGAGTTTTTGTGATTTTACAGACTGAGCCCAGGGTCCTGCATATGCTAATTACTTACTCTACTGCCAGCTGCTTCTCCATCCCCAAAAGTGAATTTTTGCTTCTTTTAAAATATTTTTTTAATTTATCATTAATTTTTTTGGGGGGGGTCTTTTTGAGACAGGGGCTCCCTGTAGCCCCAGCTGTCCTGGAACTCACTATGTAGACCAGGCTGGCCTTGAAGTCACAGAGATCCACCTGCCTCTGCCTCCCCAGTGCTGGGATTAAAGGCATGTGCCACCACACTTGGCTATAAATAAAATGCTTTAAGAAAAATTCAGGCAATGAGCAACTGACACAAAGAGTATAAATTAGGGCTGGAGAGATGGCTCAGCGGTTAAGAGCACTGACTGCTCTTGCAGAAGACCTGGGTTCGATTCCCAGCACCCACATGGCGGCTACGAACCGTCTTTAACTCCAGTTCCAGGGGAATCCAAAGCTCTCTTCTGACTTCTGAGGCATTGCATGACACGGGTGCACTCACATACATACAGGCAATACACTCGTACACATAAAATAAAAATAATAAATAAAATATTTTTTTAAAAAAGAGTATAAATTAAAGTTGTTCCCTGACAGTTTGGCCAATCACATAAGTGATTAAAACACAAAATTATGGAAGCTATCCAAACATATTAACCAACTGATGAAGCTACACAAGTAGAAACATTAACATGCATTCAATGTTTTGTAAGGACATTTATTAGAAAGTAAAACGGGACCAGGGGTGCTGACAGCAGGGGTGCTGACAATGAGGTAGGACCTGGGTCCTATGTGGTAGCACCTCCCTACACTGTGGAAGTAGAGGCAGGAAGATCAGGAGTTCAAAGTCTTCTTCCTTAGGAGACACTTTCTCAAAAGAGAGAAAAAAGTAAGGGTACAAATATCAATGAGGCTAAAATCTGAAATATGTGTACAAGAATTATATATATTTATATAGATGAATCCCTAACATCAGTTAGATTATAATGGTAAATGGAAGGATGTGTTCTCCTTTTTAATTTCCCAGAGTTGGAATAAAATACCTTTTTTTTTTTTTTGGTTTTTTTGAGGCAGGGTCTCCCTGTAGCCCCAGCTGTCCTGGAACTCACTATGTAGACCAGGCTGGCCTTGAACTCACAGAGATCCACCTGCCTCTGCCTCCTGAGTGCTGGGATTAAAGGCGTGCACCACCACACCCGGCAAAATACCATATTTTATGGAAGAAAAATTAAGACAGGCCAAGCAGGCCCTCTTTCTATTCCAGCACTTGGGAGGCAGAGGCAAATGGATCTTTGTGATTTCCAGACCAGCTTGGTCTATCTACATAGTGAGTTTGAGGTTAGCCAGGGCTATGCAGTAAGAAACCAAACAAAAAAAGAAAAGAGAACGCTTGCTTGGCATACATAGTCTTTGGGACATCATCCTGTTCCTTCCTGTGTCCTCTCAGATCATAAGAAGGAGACTCACATGGGGGATGATATCATAAGAATTTCCAACCATTTTCAGAACCTGAGTCTTAGTTACCTGCAAAGGCATGGCTATACTTGAAAAGCACTTTCTTGGGAATCTAAAAGGTTGTACGGTTTGGGGCTAGAGAGCTGGCTCAGCAGTTAAGAATACTGGCTGCTCTTGCAGAGGAGCCAGGTTCAGTTCCCAGCACCTATATGGTTGACTAATAACCCATAACTCCAGTTCCAAGGGATCCAATGCCCTCTCTGGCCTACGAGGGTATTGCATGCATATGGTGCACTTACGTACATGCAGGCTTAACACTCATACACATAACATATACCAATAAGTAAATTAAAATAAAAAGTCCCCGGCTGGGCGTGGTGGCACACACCTTTAATCCCAGCACTTGGGAGGCAGAGGCAGGCGGATCTTTGTGAGTTTGAGGCCAGCCTGGTCTACATAGTGAGTTCCAGGACAGCTGGGGCTACAAGGAGACCCTGTCCCCCAGCTGTGCTGGAACTCACTATGTAGACCAGGCTGGCCTTGAACTCACAGAGATCTGCCTGCCTCTGCCTCCCAAGTGCTGGGATTAAAGGTGTGCGCCACCACACCTGGCACATTTTATATTTATTTTATAAAATTATACACGGGAGGTAGAAGCAGGCAGATTTCTACGAGTTCAAAGCCAGCCTGGTCTACAAAGTGAGTTTCAGGACAGCTGGAACTACAAGGAGACCCTGTCTCAAAAAGACAAAAATAAATAAATAAATAAATAAATAAATAAATAAATAAACAAATAAAAAAAATAAATAAATAAATGTCCCTTAAAAGGTTGTAGGTGTGTAAGTCTGGATTGTGTGGCATTTGAGGGGTGAGAGGGACAGAAAGGCGCAGAGACAGTAGCCTGTGCATAGCCATTGTGTTTTATTGGATCTAGTGTATTTATTTTACAAAATATATAGAAGAGCCCAAAATGCAAAGCAGTCAACAATGTCTGATGGGAGAGGGGCTCTATGGGGGCCTTTCCCTCAGGTCCTAGCTGACTGGGAAGGTGAGCTGAGTGGGACAAGCAGGTATATTAATGGGGTAGCAGCATGGCAGGGGTGCTGACAATGAGGTGGGACCTGGGTCCTAGGGTTTGGTCCCTGCCCTCTAGGTGTGCTCAGCAGTATCTCTGGGTAGACTGAATAGATGAAGAGGAGCCCCTAGGCGATCCTAGGGAATTGTAGGGGGTTGGAATAGAGCCTAAGTTGAGCAAAAATTCTAATGAATGCCTCGAATGCTGCGCCTACCTTCCTCCTTGCCTGTCCCCTAAGGCAGCCACTGGGAGGAATGACAGGATACAACTTCAGGAAAAACCCTGACTCACATCATGCCTCTAAGCCTAGAGGTCATGGCAAATGAAAATTCAAGCCATCAAAACAGGTGATGGGCAGGGAGGGTAGGATGAAACTTTGATAGATATCAGCAAGGACACCTCCTACCCATCTGGCCAGTACTCCAACCACATGAGCAAGGAGGGAGAAGGAGGAATTCCAAGGATGAACCAGACATCTGGATCCCAGGCTCTCCTAAGACACTGAGAAGTTTATGGTAAATTTATGGGACATTTCTAAGAACATAAGGCCTTCTGAAAAGTCTGGAAACTCATATTCTGATGGCCTGAGTAGCAGACTGTGGAACCTGGGAGCCATAACAGGTCTGGGCCCTCATGGCCTACCCATGCTTTGTTTTCCACTCTGGTCAACTCCTAGGACTGAACCAGGAAATATCTCTTTCTCTACTTTCTTGTCTCCCTCCCATAGGGCTCTCAAAGGCTGGGTTGAAAAAAGCCAGCCAGGGACAAGGCCAGAGCATCTTCTCTGAGAAGTGAGTTTTAGGGGAAAGTTGAATGAGATCAGGGCTAGGGGAAGCACCATAGCAGGAAACATTCTGACTAATGTCATGGTTTCTAGAGTGAGATGGGGGGGTAGGGGTGGAGAATCACTTAGGTCCTACATCAGGGGGGCCCTCAGCACTGGTGTCAGGTGAGAAGGGGGTGAGAGCTGTTGGGAGTTGGGAACACCCACCAGATATACTCTGCCCTCTCTGGTCCCTTAGCTCCAGGGATCTGGACTACTTAAATCCCAGGATCTTAAATTCCTACAGCCCCCAGGGTACAGCTAGGATAAGGACAGACCTGGGAAGAGGAGGGTGAGGTTCACCTGGACTAGGAATAGACATGGTCCCCAGGACACACTAACCCCCTCTCCCTGGGGAGCTAGATGACATTGTCAAAGAGCTGCATGGACCTCATGATGTTCTCATCCTGTGGTCATGGTGTGGAGGCAGATTGAGAGAGAGAAAAAAAAAAAGCTTGTCAGAGACAAGGAGGACACTTAATCAGAGAGGGGGACATTCAAAGGCAGAGGAGGGAGACATGTAAGGGACCTAAGGTGGGGAAGGGGTAAACTTCCCCTGGTCATGATGAAACAGGATTTGGGTGTATGGGGTGAGGTTGGGAGGAACCTTCTCCTGTTTCATTGATTTAGGCCTTGAGTCCAGATCAGGGAAATGTAAAGGGCGGGGCCTGTACCTTCTGACAAGACTCAATGAATTCCTCAATGGTCACTACTCCATCCTTATTTCTGTCCATCTTCTGCAAGAAGGTGGTCAGGCAGGGAGAACAGGAGGGCGGAGGCAGGCAGAACTGAGGTTAGTGCCTTGTTGGGTCCCAGTGTCTTTCCCTCCACTCCAGAGCCTTCCAGTCTACCCAGACCCAGGCACCTGAAAGAAGCTCTCCACATGTTCTCTTGGGGCCTCCTCCCGGAGTGCAGGGTATGTGTACTTGCCCATCATGTCATAGATAGACTTCATGATGTCAAGCATTTCCTGTTAAGCCGAGAGAGAAGATTCCTCCTAAGAGCCTCTAGCCCCCAAACTGAGGGGCCTAGGGCCAAGAGCAACTTCAGCCTCTATTGATGACACACATGTGCATGGTTTCTTCCCATATCCTTTTGCACCATCACCACCCACCACCCCACACATAGCCCTTAAGTCGCCCTGCACCTCCTTGGTGATACAGCCATCTTTGTTGAGGTCGTATAGATTGAAGGCCCAGTTCAGCCTGTCATCTATGGTTCCCCGAAGAATCACCGACAAACCAGCCACAAAGTCCTGGGAATGAAGTAGAAGAAAACCTCACCAACTCTTTCTGTTGGTTTGGCATGGAAATCCTGTCCCAGAAGCCCAAGAAAATAGGCTTGACTGGCCCTCCTCCCCCAGCTCACCTCAAAACTGACAGAGCCATCATGGTTGGTATCAAAGGCATTGAAGAGAAAAGTAGCGTAGGTGCTGGAGTCTGTTGGATGAGCGTGGGGCGTGAGCTTGGCTTTCAGGCAGGAGAGTCTTTGCTTCTCCTCTAGAACTTTCCTAAACCTCCCATCACCTTGTAGTCCCAGCCCTCCAGAACCCTCTTTCCCACCTCAGCCCGGGGATGGATAGCTCCTGCCCCTTGGGTTTTCTCCTCACCTCCTTGAGGAAAGAACTGGGAGTAAATCTGCTTGAAGTTCTCCTCGTTAACAACTCCACTGGGGCATTCCTGGAAGGGGACAACCAGACTGAGCAGAGACAAAAGCCCCATTTCCTTTCCATTCACTACCGTATGTCATGAGGTTCCCAGAAAAGGAAAACCTCACCTTTGAGGGACTCACCACATGACGATAGGTAGTGTACAAAAAACAAAATAAAACAAAACAAAACATGAAACTAAACCCTCACAGGCTTAGCCTCTATCTGTTCTGAACCTCTGGCTACAAACTGGGTCTGCTGCCCCACCTCACTCCTCAAAGCATTGCAGGTCAGCTAGGCTTTTCCACTTCAGCCCTTCACTATGTAGCCCTGGCTGACCTGGAACTCTTTATGTAGACCAAGCTGGCTTTGGACCCCTAGAGATCCACCTGCTGTGATGAAAGGCAAGAACACCCCCCTACCCTGACCCCCGCAGCTTTCACTCACATTCTTGAAGCCTCGGTACAGGACCTGCAACTCCTTGCGCGTGAACTTGGTTTGCTCCTGCAGTTGCTCCAGACCCTCAGGCCGGTGACACACCGTGGACAGTTCAAACTCATCCTCCACACTGTCTGCGGGAGTAGTGGGGTACAGCTTTGCCTCAGGCCAGGCCCCTGAGACCATTTGACCAATCTTCAAAATCGCCCACCCACACACCCTTCTCCCTGTCCCATCTTCTACAACGGAGGCCACCCTGCCGTTTCACTGGACTCCGAGCTGAGGACGTGGAGGCAAAGAGAGAAGACGCTGATCAGCTTCGAGGTCTATCAGGGCCAAGGCTATGCCTGGCTCCAGAGCCAGAGGTCCGGATTCAGCACTGGCTCCTGGGCTTTTGATACCTGGTTGGAAGGAAAAGCCCCAGCCACATCTTCTTCCGGGTAAGGGAATAGTCTGAGAAGCAATGGGGCCCGTGCCTTGGGGTCAGCACTAGGGGGCCTTACTTGACCAATTCAGATCTGCTCAGCTCCAGACTTGCAGAGTCCACATCCTGCTCAATCCCAGCCAAGTCCCGCCCATCCCAGCCATGCCCAGCCATGCTCCACCCAGCTCCAGCCAATTGGCATCCAGTCTCCAATCCTAACTCCACTCTCAGTCCCGCCCCAGATCCCAACATCCCGCCCCCCAGGCAAGTACCCCACCCTCCACCCTGCCCCAACCAGGAGAGTAAGTCACCTGGGTCCAGCGGGCGGGGTCTGTGGGGGCGGAGGGAGGCAGGGGCGGCTAATGCTGAAGGGAGCGAACTGTCACCGAGAAAGCGGAAGACCAGGCCAACTGCAGACACCCCGCTCACACTCAGTAAATCTCACAGACTTGCATGTTTCAATGCACACACCCCAGGCCACAGCAAAAGCACATACAATGAGCACAGACAGCCATGAAATGGATTGCTCACCTTGCATACACGCCCTTTTTCCAAATTTACTCCCAGTAGTGGCACCCACTGGCATACTTTACATGCTCAAATAAGCTACAAACTTTACAGCTTGTCAAATTCAGTATGCTTTTATGAGATGGGCAAGGCCCAACTGAGGAAACAGACCTAGAGACAAAATGAGGTCACTCAACTGGAGGCCACTGAATTGGGGACTAGGCAGGGAAGAAAACCCAAGTCTCTTGGCATCTGGAGGAAGGTGGGCTTCACCCTCTACACCTGCTATCAGCCAATCAGGGCACAGGTGACAAACAGTTCAAGGTCCACAAAGAAATAGGGTGGCCTCAGAGTCACAGACTATAACTAGCTAAGCCACATAGCCCCATAGTCTGAGGCCCCTTGGCTACCTGATTATATAGGCTCAGGCATCAGGCCTGACACACTAGCCCTGGTCTAGCATTTTGCAGCTCAGGGACACTCAGAGGTACTCATGATCTGCCCCTACTTACTGGCTCAGGCCAGCACAGTAGCCACAACCCTCATTTCAGATGCATTCAGTTCCTACCCCACCACCCATCTCTCTCTCTCTCTCTCTCTCTCTCTCTCTCTCTCTCTCTCTCCCTCTTTCACACACACTCACACACCCACACACACACACACACACACACACACACACACACACAGGCCCACCCCAGAAGCATAGGAGAGGCACTTGCTTTCACTGACTGAGGGCAGGGCTTGGGGACCGCAGCACGGCAGCAGCTTGAGGAAACGCTGCTTCAGGGCTTTTTTAGTGGGCCCTGGAGGGTGGCCTGGGAAGAGAGAAGATCCCAGGAAGGCACATTAACTCCACTGTCCCTCTGTTCCCTCGTTCCCTGTCCTCTCCCGCATCAGTCACAAATCAACTCTGGGTGGAACAGGGATAGAAGATGAGTTGGGGAAGGGAGGGGTATGAATAGGTAGGATAGCTAGAGGCAGGTTACCTACCAGGTCTCACAGGCATAGAAAGTCGGCAGGGGCCAGGCTTGGGCACTTTGTATAAATGGGACAAAGTGAGGTGGCCTCAATGTCTGCTAACTCAGGTAATCTAAGGGATTGCTTGTGCAATCCTAATCTCTCTCTCTCTCTCTCTCTCTCTCTCTCTCTCTCTCTCTCTCACACACTACCTACACACACACACACACACACACACACACACACACACACATACACAAACAGGTATGGTATATAGTGACAATTAGAATAGCTAATGATGATAGATGCCAGTAACACTGATGGCCTAGTAACCATGCTCCAAAACATACATATAAACATACATTTTCACCCAATACTCTAACAAACACAAACATGACCAAAGTAAAACATGATCACACATATAGAGGCCCATATAGGCGAGCTCATGCACAGCAAGATTAAACATAAAAATATACTAGAACCCTGGGACATCATAACACTGTGTTAAGGATATCAAGACATATACCAAAGTTATTAAGACATATCCATGTCATATTGTGACCTAGGTCCCTGTGATGGTTCATTGTTAATTTGATTTAGAATCACCTAGGAGACACACCACCTCTGGGCATTTAACTGAGCAGAGAAGACCCACCCTGAAGATGGGTGGCACTATCCTATGGGCTGGAGCCCCAGACTGAATGTAAAGGAAAAAAGGAGAGAGTGAGTTGAGCACCAGCATTCCTCTTTCTCTGCTTCCTGTGAATGATTAAAGCAACTCTCTCTCCTATGCCTTCCTGTCATGCTGAATGGTACCTACAAACTGTGAGCCAAAATAAACCCTTACATTGTTTTAGTCAAGTATTCTGTCACAACAAAAAGAAAATACCAAGAACTGGTACCCACAAAAGAGGTGTTGTTACTGTCATAAACCAACTGACTATGTTGTTTGTAGGCCTGTGCAACTAGTTTATGAGAGGAATATGGAGAGTTTTGAGCCTTGGGCTAGAGAAGGCCTACAATGCTGTAAGCAGAACTTAGTGGGTCATTCTGGAGAGACCGTGGAAGACAGGACTGCCAACAGAAATGCAGATGGGGCTCAGTGGAAGGGTGCTGCCCTCAGAGGCCACTATGTGACACTGTGAAGGTGAAGCCTAAGCTGCAGTGGAGACCCCAGGATGCTGGAGATGCCAGGACTATGGGATAGTCACCAAGGAACGCAGCAGGCACTACTAGAGGCTATGTGTGCTATGTGACTGAATAAGGGGGGGTGTGTGGCTAGCCATGGTTTATTGGTGCCTAGATGATGTCACCAGGAAGTCCCTAATGCCAAACATGGAACTGCAGGATTTGGTGTTTGCCCTGTGGGCTTTGGTCTTGCTTTGGTCCAGTCTTTCTCTGCCATGCCCATTCCTCCCTTTTAGAATAGGAATGTTTACTCTGTATCATCGTACATTGGAGTTATGTAACTCCTTTGTATTTTCCTGGGGCTCACAGTTAAGAGATTGCTTTGAGTCTCAAAAGAGACATTGGACTTGGGAATTGTGAATAATTTTAGAAGTGTTAAGATTTTGGAGAATCATGGGCCATGGAGATGGTTCAGTGAGTAAAAGCATTAGCCACATAAGCTTGATGACACGTTTGATTCCCAGTACCCTCAAAAGATGCTGGATGTGGTGGGGCACATCTGTAATCCCAGCACTCCTGTGGTGAGGTGGGAGGCAGAGCTAGAATAGCCTGAAGCTCCCTGGCCCTCTAACCTGCAACATACAGCACAATGGCAGAAACAAAAGATGCTTTGCCTCAATGGAAGGCAAGAACAGACTTCTGAAGATTGTCCTCTGACCTGCACATACTCACAATGGTATGCACACCTGTATACATACACACATCTTTCAAAACATTTTTTTTTTCTTTTTGAGACAGGGTCTCCCTGTAGCCCCAGCTGTCCTGGAACTCACTATGTAGACCAGGCTGGCCTTGAACTCACAGAGATCCGTCTGCCTCTGCCTCCCTAGTGCTGGGATTAAAGGCGTGTGCCACCACGCCTGGCTCAAAACATTTTTTTTTAAATGGGGTGTCTCTTACAGATGAACTAAATGCATTTTTTTTTATGTGTATGAGTGTATTGCCTGCATGTATGTGAGTGCACCCGTGTCGTGCAATACCACGGAGGTCAGGAGAGGGCTTCAGATTCCCCTGGAACTGGAGTTAAGGGCAGTTCGTAGCCACCATATGGGTGCTGGGAATCGAACCCGGGTCCTCTGCAAGAGCAGTCAGTGCTCTTAACTGCTGAGCCATCTCTCCAGCCCCTAAAAATATTTTATTGGCTGGGTATGGTGGCGCACGCCTTTAATCCCAACACTTGGGAGGCAGAGGCAGGTGGATCTTTGTGAGTTCGAGGCCAGCCTGGTCTACATAGTGAATTCCAGGCCAGCTGGGGCTATAAGGAGACCCTGTTTCAAAAAAGGCAAAAATATAAGAGAAAAAATTTATTTATTAATTTATTTTATGTGTATGCGTGTATTGCCTGCATGTAGGTAAGTGCACCCATGTCATACAGTGCCCACGGAGGACAGAAGAGGTGGTCAGATCCCCTGGAACTGGAGTTACAGACAGTTGTTAGCTGCCTGTGGGTGCTGGGATTCGAACCTAGGTCTTCTGCAAGAACCATCAGTTTTTTGTTTTTTGTTTTTTTGTCTTTTTGAAGCAGGGTCTCCCTGTAGCCCCAGCTGTCCTGGAACTCACTATGTAGACCAGGCTGGCCTTTAACTCACAGAGATCCGCCTGCCTCTGCCTCCTAAGTGCTGGGACTACAGGCGGGCACGGCCATGCCCCGCTAATGAACCATCAGTATTCTTAACCACTGAGCCATCTCTCCAGCCCCTACTAAATGCACTTTTTTTAAAAATCGTTTTGAGGGCTGGAGAGATGGCTCAGCAGTTAAGAGCACTGGCTGTTCTTGCAGAGGACCCAGGTTCAATTCACAACACCTACATGGAGGGTACAAACCATCTTGAACTCCAGTTCTGACCTCTGCAGTATCGCACCAATGGAGCTAGAACTGACCTGGAAGCTACCTCTCCTGAAGGCTAGCTCTCATAGCTTTGGAGAGCACTATACAAGCTGGTAAGGGAGAACATCAATGGATGGCCCAACCCCAGCTTCAAGGCCTAAAAACCACATCAATGACCAGCACAGCAAGCAACATTGGAGCAGTAGTGGCACTATTATCTTGGGGGCAATCAACACTACCTAACTGGACTTAAAGCCCACTCAATGGGAGGAAAATCATGCGTGGTACTGTAAACCTAGTCAAACACACATAGCTGGAGAGATCATAGATCTTAGAGAAAACACTAAGGATGTCACATCTGTAGACAAATGTAATTTCTTACTATGTGCAAAACATGAATCCTTAAATTTACAGACAAGTATCCCACTCACCACCCATCAAAAAGAAGCTTGTCAACAGACAGGATTATTACAGAGTTCCACAACTGGTCACAGTTGTAAAGATTATAAATTGCCCAAGCCTAAGTGGCACATATACGACACAACCTCTATACCTAAGGCTCAAAGAACATAGAACAAGGGATGAGGAGAACACTAATGCATCTTTCAGTTCTCATCAATGAAGCTCCCTCATGCAACCAGGAATACAAAAGGTCACAAATGGCTAAAATGTAAATAATAAGAGTCTACAGAGTGTGGGTCAATGGACAGGACTCCTATATTAAAATCCACTCACCCAGGGCCCAGGACCATTGTGGAAGAGGGGGCAGAAAGATTGTAAGAGCCAGGGAGGAGATGCATGACCATATGGCTCCTGGGACCCTTCTCATAGGAACCTACAGCAATGGTGTCAGCATGCACAAGACCCATGCAAACTCGAGCAGACAAAAACCCAGCACAGAACTGTGGAAATGGACAGCAGACCCCAATCTTAGTCAAAGAATTACTGGCAGCTGATTACTGCTGGGTGAGGAAGAGCTGATCTTAAAGGGAGGGACCCTAGATAGTCTGACTAGACCTCAGTGGATGAACTTGCACACTGATGGACATCTGGGCACACTAACTTGACATGATAGACCTTAACTCAAATGACAGAATATGTGAATTCCAGTGGGGGGGGCTATGGAAGGGGGCCAAATGGGGAAGGGGATATAAAGATGATTAAGATGTTCTGTATGAAATACACAAAAATTCAATAAAAAGACCCTGTCTTACAAAACCAAAACAGAGACTGGGCATGGTGGCACATGCCTTTAATCCCAGCACTTGGGAGGCAGAGGCAGGCAGATGTGAGTTCTCTGAGTTCAAGGTCAGCCTGGTCTACATAGTGAGTTCCAGGATAGCTGGGGGCTACAGGGAGACCCTGTCTCAAAAAGACCAAAAAAAAAACAAAAAACAAAAAAAAAAACCCAAAACAGAAACAAAAGTCTTGGAAATGAACATTTTGGTATACTGTGGGGCTATCCAAGGTCCACTGATTATGTTCTTATTTAAAGTGTCCTTCAGCTGTAACTGCACCCCCAGGGGACCTTTAGAACTATTGTATATGTCTCTAGGCTGTGCTCACCTCCTGATTACCAGGCCTGAGCCCACTAGACCTAGTATATTGACTAAGTTGGCCTCAGTCCCTTCCTAGAGTGGCCCAAGATCCTTTAATTGCACTATTCCCCATACTCGCCCTCCATGCCACACTCCTCCACCCAAGCCAGGCTCTAGGCCTTGCCCCAAGGAGGTGACTGTGTAAGGTTACAGCCTCTTCCCCTTCAACCTTCTTCCCATCTCTCCCATCCCACCCCACCCCAAGAGCTACTGAAGGTAGGAGGGAGGCAGTGGGCCAGGTAGG